CCCCCCCCCCCCCTTCCAACTGCTCGCATGTTAAAACTTATAAATACTGCAAAAATTGATGAAATTTGTGAGTTTTTTGTTTTTTAGAATGCAAGGGTAAAATGGTCATTTGGTCTCTCATTCAGACAGTTTATTTAGTCCAGAAAAAAAACATATTTTATGTATACAACACTTTATCCAGACACACATCATTACCCATCCAGCCACTTCACCCATACATGACAGTTTATTTACTCTGTCACAGCATTACCAAAAGCAGTACAACCTGTTTTGTCTTGTATAACAAACTGGCCTTAAAGAGCTTCACTGAGACTTTTTTTTTTATAAGCAGGAAGCAACTTGGAAAGGTGCCGTTGGTGGATATGGATGAAAAAGATGAATGTGAGAGCACTGGAAGAACATTGCAATCTTGTAGTCGTTTTGAATCTGGATATGTTCTGATCAACAGTTCTTGACTGCTGAATGCTGTATGGAGGTAGAAATGTAATAGGCCAAGAAGTGTTACTATTTGAAAAATGAGGGAACTTAAACAAGTTGTATAAATATAAATATTACTGAATCATGGGAGTGGATTAGTCTTAATCCTTAGACTTTGGCTATGAGGAGTGGGGACTACTGTATACATCTATGATTTGTCATGTGTGTGCTCATTTTTATGTCTACAAGTGTATGTTGAAGCAAGGTCTGCGGTGCTCAACCAATAGATGTTTGGTGCTCGAGAAGGGGATCTGATTCTGTGGTGCTTAGACAAGACTGTTTTAGTTGAAAACATTAAATGTTTTTGGCTTGGCCAGTTGGCCCACAAACAATTTTAGGTCAATTTTTATCATTATAAATAGTAGGGGTGAGCACATGTTGGTTTGAGTATGTTTTGGGGGAAAACAAAATCCAAATTGTAAAGTTTATTTTTATGGGTTTAAAAACCGTCATTTCATTACTTTTTTTGGGTCTGGTTTATTGGCTTTTTGGGTTTCAGGCATTGGGTTTTTGGTTCTTTGATTAAAAACTGTAGCCCTTTCTCTTCATACCCAAAACAATGTGGGATGTTGGAAAGATATATTTGAAGTATAGTCTAATGCTTCTTTGTTAGGAATCTTTTAAGGTTTTCTGTACGAAAAAAAAAAGCTTTATATTGCTAAAATAAAGTGTTAGATTAAAATAAATTTTACTATAAAATATGATGTTAAAATTAAGGCAACCAAAAAAAACTCTTACATATAAGGGAGTAAAAATAAAATAAAAATGAAAAATATGGGAGACCACTAAAGGCCCATCAGGCCCATATCGCACATATACCCATTTCTTAAATGATACCTATGAAATTCTTAGTTTTTTTTTTTGGAACTCTGTATTTTGCCTAAATCTTGGAAAAACCTTAGGAAGATTAAAATAATGTGTCTTTTTCTCTTATTATGTCTAATAATAGAATAAAAATAAAACTGATTTAATAATAAATAAAATTGTTTCTATATGCATGTCATGTGTCCATATGTTATACTTATATGGATATTTTATCTTCTGTTGGCACATTAGCTTAGGGGGTGTTTGGGATTGTTTTTTAAACTAAAAAGTCATTTTTAGGAAATTGGCTTTTTGATTTATGTTTTTTTTCAAAAAAAAACTTTTAAAATGTGTTTGTATGAATTTTTGAGGGTGCAAAGCGAAAAAAGATAAAAGTTATTAAAAATCACAAATCTATGACTTCTTAAACACCTTATTTTTTTCATTTCAAAAAGTTAACTTTTGAAATTACCAAACAACTTTTTAAAGTTTTAACTTTTTGAAAAAACCAAAAATTCAAAAAATAATTTGAAAAGGAAAAAACCAAACACCCTCTTGGTGTCACTACCTCCTCCATCTTTTATTACACGTTTCAACGTGTTAGGGATGAAGGAATGATCATCCCTCCATCACTATGTCCGTATAACAACACATTATCAAGTTTTCTCTTTCCGTTGCATCACAAAACCATCTTTCCGTTCCATCTCAAAACCATCACGCTATCTTTCCATACAGCACCCGCCACAGCTTTGTTTTATTAAAAAATAGAATATATTAAAAATTCAACAAAAAAAAAAAAAAAAAAAACTAATAAAAAATTCTAAACTAATTATGATAACATTTCATTAATATAGAAACAGAAAGTACAAGACTAAATACACACTAAATATTTCATTAAAAGTACATAAAAACATTTCATTCCCAACCCCAACGCTGTGCTATTTCACGCTTGCGTGCTAGTACCGCATTCAACTGTGCCCCAACCAAATGATCATGCGGTCGAAGATAAAACTGCATATCTTTATCCTGACGTTTCTCCCGCATCATACGCACCCTCTCTTCTTTTTCCTCCTCCATGATGCGTAACTTCTCTGCCTTGAACTCCTCTAGTTTCGCTCGATGCCGTTTTTTATCCTCCACATCTTGTTTGTTAACATTACTAAATTCAGTAAATTCAGAAACAATCCTTAGCAGTTGTTCATCCCTTTGTTGTTGTTGTTGTTCAGACGACAATGATGCCGGTTTATTCCCTTTTCGTTGCAGTTGTTCAACATTAAACCCCTCATCCTCTTCGGGAAATTTGTCATCCACAGAAGTAGTGTAAGTGTTTGATTCAGATGTCTTTGTCTTTTTCGGAGGGTTGTCTTTGATAATTCCCCATGCTGCCTCGTGAGAAAACGCTTTGTTTTTAAAAAGGTTTCTGTATTCGGTTTGTGCTAACAACAATATATCGGCTTCTGATTGACCACTTCGGCGTTGTGTCAATTTGTTGTTGTAGATATCGTTGAACTTCTTGATCTTCTCGTGCATGTTCTTCCACTTTGAATTCATTTGATGGACAGTTCGATCAGTACCTCCTAATTGTTTGCTAAAATATTCAAGAATCCGCCTCCAAAATGAATCGGATTGTTGCCGATTCTCAATTTCTGGGTCTTTTGAAACATCGACCCACGCTTTGGCTAATGCGACTTCTTCATCGATGCTCCATTGCTTTGACTTTTTTTTGGTAGACTGATGACCACCGCATGAAGGAATTTCGGTTTGTGGAATGTTATATGAAGATGAAGGAACACTACTAGAAGAAACACCAAGAACTTGAGGTCTTGGAAATGGTGAAGAACCTGGTGAATTTATCATTTCCTGCAGCTATAATCAAAAGTTAGTTGACAATATGCAGAAAAAGTTTGCAACAATATTTGGGTAACGAAGTAATTGGTTAAAAGTTAAAACACTTGAAGCAAGCAGAAGAAAAGATAATAAGTGCAGGGGGATTCACTAACAGTGGTGGATGATGATTGATGAGGACTCTCAGAGTTTCTATAAGCATTTGGAGGCACATTGTATGGAAGAGAAGGGATGGAGGCAACATGGCCATGGGAATTAACATGATTTTCTAGGTCAGAGCCATGCATTGAATCAATGCTGACAACTGAAGTAGGTGCAGTAGTTGGAGTTGATGGTGTTGAAGAATTTCCTTCAATGGGTGATTGTTCCATTATCTGATCTCCAAAATCAAATTGTAGAAAAAGAATTATTATTGGAGTTTATCAAATATTATATGGGTTTCTAAAACAACTAAAACCATTGTTTTCATTTCAAGTGTAATGTTCAATCCAATCTGACACATACAACTTTTATATAAATTGGAGCAGACAGAATCAAAGCTGGCATGTGATCCACACTTAAACCAACTCAATTGAAAATTTATCTACAGAATGTATAAAAGTAGAGAGCAGTCTGACTCGGAATTTTTTAAAAAATTAAGAGAGCGCTCAACAATCTGTAACGAGTTCAATCAAAGTACTAATTCTCGAATGACATGAGTATCAGAAGGTTTGGAGTAAGAAATTTTCGCAAGTATTTCAAATCAATTATCAGGAACTACGTATCGTAACATGAATAACATATTAGCTATTAAATTTTAACAGTGCAGAAACATTATACTTGTAAAATGCAAACCAACCTGTGTCGTCACACAAGGAGAGACGATGCCCACAGCAGAGAGAACCAAACAGACGCCGGGGCAAGCGACAGGGGTAGAAGCGAAAATGGAGCAGAGGCGAAGCACACCTGCGGCGGAGCGGTCGCCGGCGATCGGCGAGGGGGTTTACGGGCCTGCTGTCTTGCTCACTGTTGTCGATTCAATTAGGGCTTTCTTTTTTGGATTTTTAAACTCATATTCGCGTCGTTTGGAGTGCATTTTACATGTCTACATGTCATGTCCATTTTCATTTTATCTCCTCGTCCATCTTTCATCTTCCATTTTTTTTAAATACATATATTAATAATTTTAAATTAAATCATTTGATTTACCAAATAAAAAATTTAATACTAAATTAATAATAACTAAAACATTTCATTAACTTACACAAAAAAAAAATGCATAATATAACAAAAAATCACATCATTGTTAGTGATCAAAGTTTAGGCTCAAACCGTTTAGATTTTAATTTAATCCACTTTTGTGTCTCTATTGTTTAACCATTACTATTAATTAACCAATTTATTCTCTTACATGGTATTAGAGGTATCGGTTAAAACCTTACTACTGACCACAACCCGTAGTCGATGCCCTTCACCTCTGACAACCTTCTTTAATAGTCGTCGGTGTTGCCTTAATTAGATTCAATATTTTTCTCGTTCGTCTTTTTCCTCTTAAATAATAATACAATCGTCAACCCGAAATCAGAGCTCCTTCTTTGGCTTCTTCTATTGTCTCGTCTTCTTTTGTCTCTTCTTTGGATGACCCCTACTAGCCTTCTATCTCCTCCTCGGATGACCCCCACCTCCCTCTGATCCTTCCGCACGCCGCAACTCGAGCTCTCTTTATTTTTTGCTGCCTCTCTCCAGACTCCTCGTTCGCCGTCTTCATGATTGTCGGCACCACCAACTCTCTTTTTCTTCTACAACAGAACCGTGTCTTTGGTCATCACTTCTTCTCTCTTATTCTCCGACTACTACGAGTAGTTGTTGTTAGCCGTCATCGCTCGAGCTCTACCACCATACTTGTCGCTATCTACATTTATGTTTTTTTTCTTTTGTTTTTCTATTCAGTTTAATTGTTTCATTCCGGTCAAACTGCGGGGGATGTTAGTGATTAGGGTTTAGGTTATGCAACTTTTGTATCTCTATTTATATAAGGTTTAACCCTCGCTATTAATCAAACGAGTTATTCTCTTACAATCACTTCCTAATTGAAAATGCATAAACTTTATATATATATATATATATATATATATATATATATATATATATATATATATATT